GGCACGAACTCCTACACTCTGCACAAGGGCCATGGATGCGAATGCCTGTACTACGGTGGAGAGTTGCCACCCGACGTATATCATAACTATCCACTGGAACAACCAGGAAGATTTGCCAATCTCAGCTTCGTCAAGGTCTATGGCACAGGTTGTGCAGCCTGGGATCAAGTGCCCGAAACTCCCTTGTCTGACTACTGTCCCATGGGGAGCGATTGGTGCAATTCCGCAAACAACTGGTGTCAACTTCCTTGGTGCTACGTAGGTAGCAACTGTTCGAGCCGAGTTGCGAGTACAGTCTTTGCAGGTTCGGAAGCCGCATTCCACAGCTACGACACGTGCCTGTCGACACCCGACTGCCACAGCTTTCCCTACGACTTGGCCTGCCCGTTTGACTCCAGAGATTCTGCTTGGTCAACAGCTTCTGATTGCCGTGACGGATGGTCGAACATCTGCGAGTGCAAATATCAAGGCACCATTCTGCCAGCTTCAATTTACATGAACTACCCGGCCCAAGACCCGGGGAGATATGCGGATCTGCCCTATATAGATGTTTATGGCACGTCTTGTGCGGCATGGGACCAAGTTCCTGGGACCCCCTTGGCACCACTCTGTCCGCCGGGGTCTGACTGGTCAACTGTTGAGTACAACTGGTGCCAGCTGCCCTGGTGCTATGTGGATCCGGAGTGTGTGACCATGCGCCCGACCAGTGTTTTCAACGGCACGTCTATGTATTACAGTTACGATGCATGTGGCAATGCTCCTGACTGCTACAACTACTTCGATGTCGAAGAGCGCTGTCCTTGGGACCCTTATAACGCAAAGGCATACCGCCTGCACAAAGCACAGGGCTGTGAGTGCATCCATGCTGGAGAAGAGCTTCCGCTCGATCTGATTCAGCAATATCCCTTGAGCGAGCCAGGCAAGTATGCAAATCTGACTTTCATCCGAATATATGGAACGAGTTGTGGTTCGTGGGATACCTTAGCAGGTGGCCCATGGCATGACTACTGCATTCCAGGCTCCGATTGGTGTTCTACTGGCAGCAATTGGTGCCAGACTCCCTGGTGCTTTGTGGGTGGTTCGTGTGCCACCAGAATACGGAGTTCAGTGTTTGATGGGCCTGCCACTAGGTTTTACAGTTATGACACTTGTCTTTCCTCCCCAGATTGCCGCAGTATCCCCTATGATGCATCGTGTCCTTTTGACTCGAGCGACAACGGCTGGTCTACGGCCGGACAATGCCCAGACAGCTGGTCAGACGTTTGCGATTGCATATATCAAGGCAGCACTCTCCCATCTGCTGTCTACGACAACTTCCCATCCTTCCAGCCTGGCAGGTGGTCAACATTGGGAAACATCGCGATCTATGGCACGACCTGTGCTGCCTGGGATGTGGTGCCGCAAACACCGCTCTCCATCTTCTGTCCGACCGGAGCCGACTGGTCCTCCGAAAGTGTCTGGGCTGGTCTTAAAGCGTTTCTTATTTCTGAACTCTGCACTCTCACCCGAGCCACGCAGTCTCTTCGGCAAGGTCGGTCGAAGACCTTGCAAACAGGTTCAAGCTACAGACCTTGACAAATGTCCCTACTAAGCCCAAATCGGTGCTGCCTGCAAATGGCAAATGGTAGCCAGGCAGAGCTCAGTTTCATGGGGACAAACATTCGAAACTCGCACCCTGAGCTCGCATTCTTATCGAACAAAAGACCCATTCCATTGTGCTTAGGATCTGCATGGAACAGTTGCATTAATCTGGGCTTCAAGCGAAGACGGGATTGTTCGGTTAAGTTCGGTTCACGGCCTTTCCCACAAGCAGTCACTTCTTTCGATGATTTGCATGTGTTGTGAAAGTCTGACTCACTTTCGAAATCCTCCAATGTTGACTCGTGAACGGTCGCGGTCCAGGTTTCAACTGGTGCCAGCTGCCCTGGTGCTATGTGAGCAGCAGCTGTGTTACAAAGGTTGCGACTCGCAACTTTGAAGGGGCGGACTTGTGGTACAGCTACCACACCTGTGGCAAAACACCTGATTGCTACAACAACTTCGACACAAGCCTCAAATGTCCATATGATCCTTATAGCACCCGAAGCTACCAGGTGCACAAGGGGGGCGACTGCGCTTGCAAGTATCATGGCTTTGAGCTTCCGTTTAATGCATACACCAGGTTCCCCGTCACAGAGCCCGGGAAGTATCAGAACATGCCACACATTGCAGTGTATGGCAGCACATGTGCAGCCTGGGATCTGGTGCCTGAAACTCCCAGCTACTGCCCTGGTGGTGTGGATTGGTGCACCAGCGAGCATAACTGGTGTCAGCTTCCCTGGTGTTTCGTTGGAGCCAACTGCAGCACTAGGATTGCCAGCTCCATTTTTCAGGGGTCGGAGGTGGCTTTCTACAGCTATGATACCTGCTTATCGGCGCCAAATTGTCGAGACGAAATCTTTGATACCAGATGCCCATATGACTCGAGCGATTCAGGGTGGTCAACTCCCCAGGTGTGCTCTGATGGATGGAATGACGTATGCCAGTGTCTGTATCAGGGCGACGTTTTGCCGGAAGAGGAGTATGTGAACTACCCGACTCAGCAGCCAGGAAGATACATGAACCTATCGAGCATTTCGCTCTACGGTACAAGTTGCGCTGCTTGGGATCAGGTGCCTGGAACTCCTTGGGCACACCTTTGCCCCATTGGATCGGACTGGTCTGACGAGGAATTCAACTGGTGTCAAGTGCCTTGGTGTTATGTCAGTGATACCTGCAAGTCGCGCATTCGCAGTTCCGTCTTTGATGGCTCGGCCACCCTCTTCTACAGCTATGATGTTTGTGGTGATTCGCCAGATTGCTACAACAATTTTGCAGACCCCCGATGTCCCTTTGACCCCTCGCGGGGACTATCATATGCCCTGCACAAGTCCCAAGGCTGCGAGTGTTTGTACCAGGGGATGGAGCTGCCGGCAGACACTTACTTGAACTACCCTGCCGAGGATCCTGGCAAGTATGCAACGCTCCTGGCAATTAAGATCTATGGAACAAGCTGTGCGGCTTGGGATCAGATGCCTGCAACGCCTTGGTCTAGCTACTGCCCGGCTGGTGCAGACTGGTGTCATTCAGATAATAACTGGTGCCAGCTTCCATGGTGCTACGTGGGCAGCTCTTGCCGTTCTAAGCTGCCGACGAATGTCTTCAACGGCTCGGCAACGATGTATTATAGCTACGACACATGCTTCTCCACTCCGAACTGCCGCCTTCCGCTTGAACCTGGATGTCCGTATGACTCGACACTGGCTCATTGGGCGACTGGCTCTGATTGCCCCCATGGTTGGTCAGACGTGTGTGACTGCATATACCAAGGCTCGACCTTACCTGAGGACTTATATCGGCAGTTCCCTGTCTCACGGCCAGGCATGCACCAGAACCAGTCCACCATCGCTTTGTATGGGACAAGCTGCGCCTCCTGGGATGTTGTCCCAGGAACCCCGCTGGCTAGCACATGCTTGTCTTCATCAGCAAACTACTCGGGTGACATGAACTGGTGCCATGTGCCATGGTGTTACGTCAGCAGCTCTTGCCCCACGCAGTTACCAAGCCGCGTGTTTGACGGCTCCGGTGCTTTCTACAGCTATGATAGCTGCGGCAATGCGCCGGACTGCTACAACAACTTTCGTGCAAGCAGATGTCCTTTCGACCCATATGGGACACGGAAGTACAGGTTACACAAAGGTGATGGATGTGAATGCATCTTTCATGGCATGCACTTGCCGGTAGAGGTGTACACCATGTACCCGAATGAAGATCCAGGGCGCTACAGCAATTTAAGTCATATTTCAGTGTATGGCACAGGCTGTGCAGCCTGGGATCAGATGCCAGGGACTCCTTGGGCTTCATCTTGTCCCCAGGGTGTAGATTGGTGTGCGTCGACCCACAACTGGTGTCAGCTCGCCTGGTGCTTCGTGTCAAGCGGCTGCGGAACCAGGCTTCCCGGCACTCTCTTCAGCGGCTCTGCGGCGGCATATTACAGCTACGACACGTGCCTTTCTATGCCAGACTGTCTCAACTTTCCCTATGACTCCCGCTGTCCATTCGACAAGCAGGATCTGTCTTTCTCCGCAGCTGCGGACTGCCCCTCTGGTTGGACTGACACCCCTGGTGTACCAATCACTTCTTTCGATGCCGTCCTCCTTCTGGATGACGTATGGGACTTTCGAGCGTCAGCTTACCAGGAAAGTGTGGAAAGCAGCACAGGGCTGGGAAGCAGTCAGGTTCTCATGGACTCTGTGCAGTTCCGTGTCATGATGCCATACGCCCTGCTTTGGGCTTCTGTGCAAATCGGGGATGCAGAGATGGTCGCCGCGGCAGCTTCGGCCACCAAGCTTGATCCTTCCAAGATCTTCGTGCGATCCAACAGACGTTTGTCAGAGTCGGACATGGAACCACCAAGCGAACGAAGGCTTCAGAGCTTGTTCGATATGTATGCCTTGACCGACAATGCCGCCGATTTGAGCAGTATGCAGTCCAAACTTTCCAATGTAAGCTTGCTTCAAGCAAGCCTGGCAGCAAGCGGGGTTGAGGTTCGCACCCCAGTTTTCAGTGCCCAATGTTGTGCAAAAGAAGTAGTGCAACAAAAAGAACGAAAATTAGCCAACCAGGTCTAGGCCTAGGTCTTCGTCCTGCATGCTAAGGCCCGGATGGAGCCCGGGGGCCCAGCACACAAGGAGGTCCTGGTTTCGACTCGGCTTTTGGCAGCCGATCCAATGGATGCCCCGGTGACATCTCCTGATCCTTCAGTCCTGTCCAGCCAGATGTCGCAACGGTTGGGCATCGCCATCACCGCGCAGATCGAGAACGAGGCCGGCTCTTCCATCTATCTATCTATCTAAACTATATTATACTATACTATACTATACCATCCCATACCCATCCCCATGCCCATACCCATACCCCTACCCCTACCCATACCCATACCCCTACCCATACCCATACCCATACCCATGCTATACTATACCATACTATACTATACTTTCTTACTATACTCTACTATACTGTACTATGGCCCACCGCAGTGAGCAGCATGCTACGCATGACTGAGGCCATCAAGCTGCCACCAACTTCGACGACAGTCACACTGACATCTACAACCACCCTTTCATCCACGTCAACATCCAGTACCAGGACACACACTTCCTCGACAACTCTCTCCACAACCTCCATCACTGTGACGACCACAACGTTAGTTATCGATGTTCGAATCATGATCAATGAGGTGGAATACTCAAGCACAGAAATAGAAGCCTGGGCTGTCGGAACAAAGTGCCTTAGAGGCATTGAAAATGAGAGTGGGCGGCCCTAAATTTACTGAACCTGTTGCGATGCTTCATCCAAGGTTTTGCCTCCCGGACACCAGCACAATGACCTCCACCACGATGACAACCACGGGGCAGTATGTGGGAGCAGCTGAGATGCTTGTCGTCATACACCCCATCATTTCTGCAAGCTCACTGAATGCATGGCGGTTGCTTTGCATTGCCACCAGAACGAATGCAAAATGCACGTTGTGCCGTGTGCGCAGCACGCTTCCGGTCTGTAAGGTCGAAAGAGAACTAATCGGGGATGCCAAGGGAGGGGAAAGGGTGGAAGTTCTCACACGCAACAGCACAAAGTCTCGCCCTCCCGTCCATTCGCCAGTCGGGTTTTAATCTCCTTCCTTTCATTTCTGATCGGCTTTTTAGCTGGGAGGTAGAGACAAGCAGAAATTGACGTCGCCGCATGCCAACCTACCGCCTTGGCGATTTCTCTTATGGGTCCCCGAGTGGAAGGGAGCCGAATCGGGTTCCTTTGCAGGGGTCCGTTGAATTGAACTGGTCATTTGTAAGAGTGTCCAAACTTTGGCACGCGCACGATGCCGCCGGAATGGAGGACAAGTGAAATCATGCATGACAGCTCTCGCTTTGTGTGGTTCGCCTAGTGCTCGAAAGCGAAGGTCAGCAGCGCAATCCTTAGTATTAGACGAGTTTCGGCGGAGGCCGATTGCAGCAGAACGCAATTGGCAACAATCAGGATCGGGGGTGCCGTCGTCTTCCAGCTTTGCCGGGACATCTTCCAGCAGGACTTCGTGCTTGTGACTGGTTGCCTGCAGGAAAGCTTGTACCAAATGGCAGCTTGCTTCTCACGAAGCAGCCCATGCACACACTCCAGGACCCGCCCTCCACTGTGGACTGCTACTGGCGTGAAGATGTAAATTCGGAGTGGGTCCTGTTTGGTGGTGCCGGCACATGTGCCGCGGCACCGACTAAATTTGAAGGCATTTTTCTAGAGTCTGGAGCCTCGCAGTGATCCACCTCGGGAGTGTCTAAGGTGAGGCTGCCACCTGCCGTTGTGCAGTTCCTCGGTGTTGTAAATTCAGAATCCACAGATGTACTTTGCAATCGTGACAGGGCGGTTCAGCGCGGATCGCTCGCGTTTCCCTCTTGGAGAGCGTCCAAGGCCTGGAGCGCCGGGAACCATGACTATCAGCTTCGATTAAACATGGGCGGCATCGACCACTTCACAACTGAGCACCTCGCTACGGCCGCGGGGTTGCTCGGCTGATCTTGCTTGCAGAAGTTCGAAGGCATGGAATGCGGAAGTGAGAGCGGAGAGCAGAACTTGCTTAAGCTCCGCTGCATGGCTGCTTGGCTGCCTGTCACCTGGGACAGTGGTAGAGGAGAAATGCGCCGCGCAAGACCCGATGTCCGAGAGGCCAACCAAATCAGGGAAGAAGGCACTTTGGCCTCGGGTCGCAGGCCCGCTTGACAAACGGCCCCTGGCGGTTACATCCTTGGGTCGACTTGGCTAAGCGGCAAAGCAATCCGACATCTTGCCACGGAGGCCAGAGGACCTTGAAGTGAGCAGGAAAGCCGAAATTGCGAGCGCTCCCTCGTTAAGATCTTTCGTCTGAGATACATACACATATAGTAGTTAAGTTAGTTATGTATACATATGATATGTGTGTATAGATTTGATTCTGGAGGATCCTGTTACGTCGATGCATCGTCGCAGGCCACAATTCAGGCGAAGAGTACCCTGCCATGGAGGGGGTCGTGATTCCTTTTCTGAATTTGCTGCTTCTTGAACTCTCCTACAACATAACAAGTCTTGACCTGCTCCAACACACAGGAACGTGCTGTCAAGACCTGCGGCCACGACTCAACTTTTGGGTTTCTTCAGTGAAAAGCGGAAGAGCCTTCGCGAGAGGGTTGCCATGTTTCACGCCGTTCAACGCTTCCACATGCCACACGGGTGGTAGGCCGTCACTCGGGGCTGTACTGTGAGCTCTGGGATCCAGCCAAGGCCCAAGGATTGTCCCACAGCGGCTTGGTTGCAGTCTCCCGGATGTTGCCAAGACTCGGCAAAAGTCGATTTGCTCATCGAAACAGGAAACTACCAGCACTACCACGACAACCACAACTACCACCACAGCTTTGGACAGCATGGGGGTGCAAGAGATGAATGGAGCAGTGCCTCGGACGGTTGGGGTCGGCTTTGAGGAGCAGGAGGATGAAGATGAACGTAACAAGTGTACATAGTTGTAAAGTGTCGTGACATGATGACGCGCTGCGAATGTTGCTCGGCATGAATGCCTGGACGAGAGCCGAGTCATACTGGGAAAGCGGTTAGCAGTGGAAGCCTCCTGCAGGTGTTCTTCCATGTCTGCAGCGACATTGAGGGCCCTGTGATCTGCAGCTGGCGGCGACGAGGCATTTGTTGTTCTGAGAACTGGAACTGCCAAGATTCGGCTTCTTGTCAAGCCCATGTGCATCGAATCTTTGTCAGGAGAGTTTTATTGGTTTCCGTTCGAAGGCTATGGCTCCTGTTCCCCAGCTGAATGTTGAAGAAAGCCGCGGCCATGCCATGGTCTTGTTGATGCCCACTCAGGCTACGCTCGGAAGTGCACCTGCCCGGCCATGACAACGGACTGCTTTGAGCAATTTTCCTAGACCCGCGTGAGGTCCCAACCCCTACGGTTCCACTGGGTGGGACCGAACCAGATTTATCATGCTTACGCAAAGTTGTAGGTTCAAGCTCCATCTCAACTGTACCAGCCCCTCCATGACCAGTTTGGAAGGGCTTGACTGTCATGGGCTCTTTGGTCCTTCATCTGTCCCTTCCGCCGCAGATCTCAGATTCGCATTGGCGCAGGACATGTTCTTTAGCATGCGGGTTCCCAGCACAGTCGAGCCTCGCCTGCACGGCCGCGATGACTGTTGCTGAGCTTGTATGAGCTTGTTGTGCTTGAAGTAGCGTTGGGTTCGCTCTTCGTTTGGAAAAGAACTGTTGAATTGATGGGCACATACCAGAACGGTTTGTCCTCTGCGTCGGACTCGGGGCTCACGGGACTTCAAGCTGCCTGAAGAGATGGGTGATCGAGGGTAGTGTGTGATGGTGACTGTAGCGGCGATGAACTGCGCTGCATCGCTCTGCCCAGTGTTATCTAAGGAGTCAACCACCACAGAAGCTTGGCTCTCTCATTGGTGATTTTGCGAAGTTGCGGAATGGGAGCAATCTTCGCGGCTGCACCTAAACGCTGAGGTGACAAGCATTACCGGCACTTCCACAACTGCAACACTGACCACCAGCGTCACGCAGCTATCGTGGTTCGGCTGATGTTCAGGAGTATGCTCAGAGGGCGTGCGCTTGCTCTGGTTCTGGCACGAACTATTTCCTTAGGAACACGACCATTGCCAAGACGGCTCATTGCATCACAGCTCGTGCTGCACCTGGACTCTTTGGGCTGCTTTGGGCTGCAGATAGACACCGCCTGCCGTATTTCCCAGCCTGTGCTCGCAGTTGAACAGCAACTGGCGATCTTACCACCCAGGTTGCTGCTGCTCTGGGCAGTATCCTCGTAGACATGCGCAGTATCTGTTCAATGTTCTTTGACTGTTTGAAGCCCTGGCTGGAATATAGGCCAGATTTTCATTGGCAAGGGCACAGAGACCTGGCAATGTGCGCAAGCTCCCCAGGGTTCCAGGTAATCGTTCCCAGCATGCGACTAGCAGGTGGTGGTGGTGACGTAGGAAGTCCTGTGCCCTGGCTCCCCGAACGCTTTTTGCATGTCCCTTAGATGTGTTCTTGCAGTAGGCTGGGTTTGTTAAACAGGACCAAAAAGATCCCGAACAGCAAATGCGGCAAAAAGCATTGTCAACATGTCCATGCCTCCTCGCTTCTGCGCCTCCCGAGTCTTTGAATTCATGGATCGACCATTGTAGCGACTCTCGGCATCGAATATGCGATGGCCAGTTAACGCACGGCAGCAATCGCACCTGCTGCAGCAGCCAAGCTGCAGCCTTCTGCTGTGGGCAAAATGTCCCCATGCGTCGAAGGCCAGGATAATGAGTTTCACCTTGAATCCAGGGCAGTCATGTGCTTCCCGGTGCAAGAAAAAAGAAAGCCTTTCGGTCATGAGACCCCGGGATGAAAGCCTGGCGCATCTAGGCAAAGCTTCTCCAAAGCAAGGGTTCTGTTATCCCTGAGTGCCACAGCAACGAAGGTGATGTCCGGCTTCCCGGGATCCTCGTTCCCAGGCATTCAGGGGGGCTGGCCTTTTCAGCTTCATAGCTGCTGATGGACAACACATCGAGTCGAATGTGACGAGTTTTCATCACACTGCATATGGCAGCGCGGTGCAGTGATGGTCATGCTTCTGATTCACACCCCTCCCCCCGCCTGCAGTCTGCCAGAGGCAATTGGGCTCGATGGGCGGCGCACAGGGCTGCGACGAGATGGAAGTCCAAGTCACCAGCTGGTGCGGGAAATCGCTAGACTGTCGCTGTGTGCCTGCAGTAGTACTTCCTGTTGCGCCAAGACAACGTCCCCACTGCAGCTACTCTGTCTGGAGGTCCAACTTGAACCCTCGCTTCTGGGCGCCTCGTGGATTTGGCTTGTGCCTCTGAGTCTTTCTCCTGCCAAGCTGACAAGAACCAGTAAACCCGTGAGCAAACTGCTGTAGTTTCCATATTCAGGTGTTACAGACCTCGTCTTGCCGAACACTTCTATGAAGGTGGGCATGCAGCCTCGCCAGCGAAACTTGTGAATGCCAAACGGGTCGCCACTTCAGCTGAACTGCAGGGTGTGTATCTGCGACGCTGTGGCGAGCCTATCTTTCAGCAAGGCATGTCCCGGTTTCTGCAGTCAGTGCAGGCAAAGGGCAAGCACCAGGTCTGTTCCCAAGCCCTGGAAAGGGCAGACTGTGATGAAGTGCCAGGTCTTACCAACCCGCTGGAGATAGACATTGACATCTCGCAGCCCGAGGGTGTTTATCCTGGCCTTTCTCTCGGGCAGAACTTCCGTCTCCATCCGCGGACTTTCCACAGCCCGCACCTTCCAAGGCTATCTGGTGGAATTCATGTGCGCCGCTTTTGATGAGGGCCCTGACCTCAACCACTGCCGGGGCTGCCGTCTTCATCCATCTTCCAGTACTTCATTCGCGAAATGGGAAGCAGAATATTCACTCTTTGCCCTGTGCAGAGGAGCCCAGGGCCAGGTTTGCAAACGAGTCAGGAAGCCTCGTTTCGCCATGAGCGCGGGGAGCAGCGCCCGTGACGACGGCACGATGAACGGCCTCGACGACCGTGCGGCTTGAAACCAGCAGACTGCCCACTGGCCCGGCATCCGCCACTGGCTGTCCAAAGAAGGAGCCATGATGCGAGGAGCTTGAAAGAGATTTCGAGAATATTAGTTGTAGCGAAGAAAATCGCAAAGCCCTTTGCCCAGGAGTCCACCTCTCCAAGTCCATGTACTCTTGTACAGACCAAATGTGCCGTGCTTGCACACTTTGCTGCATTGCTGGCTTCCTAAGGCCTGGGAGCCTGGCACGAGCCCTAGGGCCCTAGAGCATGAACAGTTCGTGGCGCAGATATCAAAGCCCGCGCACCGTGTAGCCAGCTGGACTTCAACCACAACGAGATCTAGAACTCAACTGTGGAAGCAAGAACAAAGCATGTGACCCCTTGGCCAAGGTCGACAGCAGGGATGTCCTCAAAGCATGCCATCACCAACGTGTCCACCGAGATGTTGGGCCCTCCTCTGCAAACGGTCATGTTGTGAGCATGGAAGCTTGCTTCCAAGGACTTGTTTGGCAACAAGGAGCTCTGGTCTTTTCGCCGCCTTGTATCGCGTCGTCAGGGAGGTTGGGGCAAAACCTGAACCTGTTTTCTCCATTCGACACATCGCGAGCCGAACCCGGTGACAGGAACCTCCAAATACAACCACACCTTTACCACCGCCGCCTGAAGTTGACGAGGGTTTGACTCTCGGAGCTTTGCTTGCAATCGCTGGGGCCTAAGCCAGAGTGTGTCTACGCTGTTCGGCAATTCTCCGTGAGTTGTTTCGCAGCCTGTAATCCCTGAGGTGGGAGGAGGAACTGTTCTCCTTTGTGGCTGCGTGGGAGGCCTTTACGTGATGGCCGCAGCGAGAGCACAAGCTTGAGCCTGGTGAGCCTTTTCCCAGCGACTCAAACTCAGGCCTGGCACAAGATGAGGTCTTCCACTCGGCATTGCACGGACAGGTCATCTCTCATGCGTGACCGCGCCCAGGTCCCGTGAGCCCGTGGAGCCCGAACCCGAGGAGGAGGAAGAGGCCACCTCCGCTCCCGCTGACCTCCCATTTGCCACATGTCGAGAAAGCCAGGAAGCCGTGGAGACGGAGTCGGAGTCGGAGGCTTGCGGCCAGACAGAGACTCTGACAGAGAGACTGCCAGCAACAAGCTCCTTTTCGCAGGTTAATGCTCTGTTCTCCGAACAGCAGAGTGTAATCTCTTGTGTTTTGCGTTGGCTTGGTTCCTTGGCACCGTAGACATGCCCGTGGCAGATTGCCGAGCTTCCTGATCCGGACTGACCACCCAGCCGTCGAAGCCTGCGATTCGCTGCTTTCGCTGCTTGCAACAAGAAACGCTGACGTGGACAGCCAAACTGCTCGAAGGACCCTGCACTGACGAAACTGCGCTTGGCCGCTGAAGCTGGGACTCTCACCGTTATGGACTTAGTGCTGAGCATTGCTAAGCGCGCCCATGATGCGGTCCATGCCCCGTGTGCAGCATGGAGCCGGTGATGTGGGGCAGGCGCGTGAAATCTTGGCAAATCACTCCGGCCCAATGGGCATTCGTCAGGTGCAATGGTGCTGTGTGCGTAGCATCATCCAATGACCTCACAGCATGTGACGTTGTGGACAGGAACTGGTGTGGGCTTTGGACAAGGGCTACGAGAAGAAGCGGCGTGAAGCACAAGCTAAGGCCATGCCATCAGACCTTGGACCTTGGCACGGTTTGAATTTGGGGCCTCGCATCGGGCACGTGGATGGCCGCAGCGAGCCAATCGACTGAGTTTATCGGCTCAAGCCGACAGATACATAGAGATTCTGGCTTCTGGGACGCATCGCATGAGAGAAGCACGGATTCGAAGGGAACGTATGATTACCAGAGCCAGTGAAAGGGTTGCACACTGCAACGCCTTAAGAGCTTCTAGCCTGGTGCACATCCAGCACGCCACTCGATCGTGCTTGAACCTCAGGGCTCGACAGAGTTCTCCTGCTGCTCTGCGAGACACACCTCTATGCACAGGCAGATTTCGCCATGGAGGTTGAATGGAAAGAGTGCTTCGACCTCTACGACAAGGACCTCTGCATGGGCTGTAGAAGATCATCCTGGTTCCCTGCGTGGTGGGGTTCGGATGCAGTGATGGGGTGTGACCGTCCGCAGGATTCTGACGGCAAAATAAAGGCCACGGACACGGATTGAGGATATTTGGCGTACTTGGTAAAGCCGCTTGACCGCAAGGCCACCGAGCTGGGGGACGTGTTGAGATCATTGGGATTGGTTCTCACTCAGAAGGAAGTGCAGGAGCTCAAGGACAGTTTCCAGTTCTGACGTGTGCCTGCCTGTTCCCTGTGAGTCTCAGATGTTTCTAGAAATGCCACCTGCTCGCACCAGGACGAGGTTGGCAGTGACTTGGTGTCCTGGGAGAAGTTCAAAGACCTAGCAGCGAAGAAACCCCGTCAGCCAGAGAAGCAGGCTCAACTTTGGTACGACACACCAACTCAAGTCTGTCTCGCTGCCCCGCAGGCACATGCGCTTCTGCAGGCAAGGTGCTGATGAAGCACCGGCACGCGACAAGCTTGTGCAGCACGGGCTTTGAATGGGATGCTAGAGGGTGATCTGTGCTGTCAGGCATTCCAAGCCTTCGACCAAAGTGGTTCCGGGCAAGTAGACATGAAAGAGCTGCGGCACATTGTTTGGTCCTAAAAACTTTTGCAATGCAGTCCGTTGCACCCCCCAAACGACGGAGGTGACGAACCTGGGTGAGAAGCTCACCATCAAGGAATTCGAGGCAACTTGCTCTGGCAGCTCTCCGTCTTTGAAGATGTTGGCCTTTTTGTGCCAGGAGATCTGCAAGGCTGCTGACCTGCCTGCTGCGGGCGCACTTGATTACAAAAAGGCGATCAAGGGAACGATCGGTTTCGTCAGCCAACTGAAGCCCCCGTCGGGAGGTGGTGGACAAGGTTACCAAGACTTGAGGAGAACAAGATCCAGAGTGGCAAATGCTTGCTTGGTTTTCAAGAATCAAAATGCATGCGTTTGCCAGCTTATGTAGTAGCAAGCGTGCTGCGGAAGGGGGGGGCAGGGCGGAATAAAAATGTTCCCGTAGGATCCCTTGCAGGTGTTCCAAAAAGACACGGCACTCAAGGAAGAGCTTGCTGACCTTGCAAAGTGTCGCCGAGCATGGTTCGGTCGGAACATCGAAAAATCTGACAGACTGTCCAGAGCACCCTCGCCAGGTCAGATTCAGGAGACGATGCATCTGGAGCTAGCTTTACGCCCATCCATGCAAAGGCAGTTGTCAATTTGATGTGCTCATGGTCTTACAGCCTTCCTTGATTTTGATTGTTCGTTGTGCGGGTGACCAAGATGCCATGCTTGCAGGCACCTGCCAAGAAAATGCGGCGGCTGGGAGCTTAAACTGCGAGGTACGATCGTTTGCCGCTTGTGTTTGTTCATGCAACAATCGCCAGGGCATTGGGCTCGGCAATGTTTCCTTGTTTGAGAAGTGCACTGCAGACCTTCGCAAGAAGCCAGGAACGCAGGCTCTGCGCCTCCCTCAAGGCAGTCCGACCCCAGATCTTCCCGCACATCCAGGATCCGTGCTCGTGTTGATGTTCATAATTATGGTCTCCGAGTCTCACGGCTCCAAGCATCAGGGGTTCGGGGTCTCGGCGGAACTCCGGGTCACGACGCCGCTCCGAGCAGTCCGGGTTGCCGCCTCAGGGACCTCATCAGACAGGATCCCTGGGTCGGGTGTGGATGGGGCCAGGAAGTCCAGGCAGTCGGGGCAGTCCGGACAGTCCCGCACCTGGACGTGAAGTGCAGCCGGCTGATGATTGGATGCTTCTGTATTCCCAGCCTCAGGCACTGAGACCCACCGTTAACGCAAACCCGGAGACGGCAGCGTTTCCGTTGGTCTCACCAGCTGGAGAATCCAGCAAGGCATGCGCAATGCCGTAGCAAACATGTTAATTCGCGAGCGTGTAACCCAAAAGATGTGGCGCATAGAGTTTGACATCTTCTGACATGCACGGAAGCAGTTCGATGCAGCGCAGTGCTTTTCATGTCCTTGCCGCTGATTGGCTCGTGGCTCTAACCTTCCCGCAGACCAATGAGGGCCGGTGCTGAGGACCACTGTGCTCTCAAGTTCTGCCAGCAGTCCATGACGAACAGTTTGTTTAGCAGCTCATGTCTGATGACAGGACGAGGATGAGGCATTCAGCTTCCCGGAGCTCCACTGCCGCTGCCTGGGCCTCGGCCTCCCGTTGTTTGGAGCTGGACACTCCCACCGACCGCATCCCTGCGAGGGTTTATCAAGCCGCCGAGATGGTGCGCAGGGTTTTGAAGCGCCGATCATAGTTCACTTCACCCCTTTATGCAAAAAGCACCCACTGGTGGAAACCTCCCTGACATCGTCTCCGCCTTTTCACAACGTCTTTTGAATTAGGATGATGTACGAGCAAGAGCAAGAGCCGCAGCAAGAGCCAGAGCTGGAGGAGTGACCGTAGAGATGAAATGACCTTCTATAGTAACCGCGCTTTCCTGTTTATGTTGGGGGGAGACGACTAGTAACTCTGAGCATTAGCCCCCGCCAGCTTCCGGGCCGGCCTTGATGCCTGGGAGTTTCACTGCACTGGGGCTGGAGAAGTAATCTGGCCGAGTTGGTGTGGGCGGGGGCACCGAATCCGTGATCAGAGTAGGCATGCTTGTGGCTCAGGTGGCGTGGTTTGCAGCCGGGCTGCCGGGATCCTGGAAGTTACCCAAGATGTATTCACCAAGGGCGCTAAGTGTCAGTTTTTCAGTTCGTTTCAGAAGCGAGCGGCAAGCAAGGTTTTCAGGAGAACAATGTGCCTTAAAACGCGCGTTTTGTTTGCATCGTGGCCTATCTCGCTGGCGACGTGAGCAGCAGATGACCTCAGCCATAAGGTCAAGGCTGCAATCCAGGAGGCGGCAGAGACTTGGTCATGGCAAGTCATGGTAGCATGTTTCCAGCTCGGACCTTTCATCTGCTACAAGCAGGCTGAAAGAATTGCGGCAAAGTCAGGGACATCGGAGATGGTCGGCAACTCGGAGCTGCATCCTCGACATGCCGGGTCCAACAAGGGTGTGCGTGTTGAGGTGCAAATAGCCGAACGGGTCCTGGAAAGCCTGGCAGTGCGCCACTTCTTGCTGCCGTTTGAAGAGCAGGTAACATTCAGCATAATGTCAGATGCTAGCTTCCTCCTTTATCTGCAAGCAGGATTGGCCGGAGTTGCTCCAAAGTGTGGCAGCCATCGGAATCCAGGCCGACGCTTCCGAATGTGGACAGCCGCACATCATGGCACATCAACGCATTCCGCAGGCCCTCAACCTGCAATATGGCCGATCAGCGCAACTTGTTGGACTGAGTTCCTTGCGGACTCTGGCCGGGATCATACTTGTAGCATGAGTGAGTGTTTGTGCGTGTGTGAGTGGAAATTGGAAAGCAGCGAGCTGGAGGCGAAATGGTTGGAGCTTCACAGGACTGCAGAGTGAGTGGATGGTTGTGTGTGCTGCACCACATTCGGACGTGCAGGACGTGGCCTAACAGCTTGGAGCTGATGTCAAGCGCCGTGCCTGCACATCGTTTCTGTCGAATGGTAGAAGTTCTTTGTTGCCACGATGTGCTACGCACAAGTCTCTTCCTCGCCTTTGAAGGAACTGGTTCTTTGCTCTGGCCCCAGCTGGGCATGTAGTCCTTGGCACGGACCATCGGATTGAGTCAAAATATCTTAGCCCAAGACTTGATGTGCCCGAGGTCGGGACTGGGCAACGGCAGGACACCTCGCCCACAAAGTCAACCCAGCACGAGGGGCCGGGCGGGATTCTCAGCCTTGCAATTGAACCAACTCTCGCCTGCCACGCCTGCTACGTCAAGCAAGACAGGCTCCGGTCCTGGAAGGCACGTCTATCGGAGATCTGCCCCCATTTGATCGGATGTACACGCCTTTACATCGCCAGGCATCGAGTCTGACCCCAGTCCAGAGCGAAGGGGGGCTGTGGACAGAACCTCAGCTGTCAAGGTGCTTGCCGTGGCTTGATGCAGCAGACAAAACTGCAGACCAATAGCACCTAAAGTTGATTTATCAAAGCCATGACGACACTCTGCACAGAGGATCCCTCAGCTTGCGAGATTTGCAGCACAACTTGGTTGGCTGAGGGGCACGTGTGCAAGATCTGGTGTCACTCGAGCAATGGGTCACACTGCAGCCCGACATCCCGTGATGGCACCGTGCGGATCCGCCTCAGGCTCCAGGCACTCCTCCATCCAGTTGCGCCATGCTTAGACCTGCCGGAAACTAAGAGCTTCAGATGCATCAGGTCAAGGCTTGCCTTGGTGCTTGTACAGATGCCCCAACTAGCTGACAGCTGGGAGGCTGCATTTCCATTGAGTCTTCCCAGCACCGAGGCTCTCGGCGGCATCCGGGCGAGGTCATTGGTTTTGGGAAGTTGTTTTGAAGCTACATTTCCAAGTCCAGCATGCCACGCGCGAGGGCGCAGGTTCGAAGCCGCAGCGCCCCAGTTCGAGGTGGCTGGTCGCCCAGGACACCAGATCGAAGATGTCAGGATTCACGTTTGAAGTCATGTTTGGGATGTTCGTTTGCAGACAACCCGATGCAGTGCAGTTCAAACTGTCAGGAGCTCCCCAAGGGGTGCTGCAGGGCACCCGGACCGCTCGGGCGTGATGGGTAAAGTCTTTGAGTGCACGTAGTCAATCCGTGGGCTTTATGTTTGCCGTGAGAAGCTTAGTAGACTTTGTTCCCACATTCAGGGCATGTTCCAGAATCCTGTTGGCAGCTCACGGTGCACAAGCAGGCCGAATCTACTGCAAGAGTGGCCGAGGCTCCATTGCCGTGGAGGTCACCAAGGGCAGCTCAAGCCGAGGAGCAGTGCGTTTTTAGCAACGTTGGTGCTCCGAAAGTTTCTGAGAAGCTTCGAAAAGATAGCAACAGCAAGCTCTGCGATGTTCAGAGATGTTCAGAGATAAGCAGTGGCTGGAAAGTATAACGACGTCATGACACCCCGTGGCATCAACCTTCGTGCAGAGTGTGCTGGTGCAGGCTACTAGCTGCCGGCATTTCGGCATCGTGAGATCCTGAACTGAGCGTGTGCATCATGACTATTGAACGGGTGGGGGCATTTATGCAAGTGCTTAGGCACCCTCGCAGTTCTCAGCGCCTCTTCCCTCTGCGTGCCCAGCCGCACCACTTCAACCGTGAACGGCCGAGTGTACCAACACTTGCGTGTGATTTCAGACATACGGACAGCTGTGTCATGGTGGGTGGGTGCTTGTGGTGTTCGTGCAAGGCTGTCCGCTGCTTCCGGGATGCCTCGAGAGCCGATCACATCCCGCGAGCCAATCACCACGCTTCCTCCACCTACACTTTCCGATTCAACTGCCACGTTTGGGTCGGTGCTCCCGACAAGCCCGGCCCCCTCGGGGCCGGGCCGGCCGGGGCCGCACTTCACACCGCAATGCACTGCGACATGTACGTCACCACTGCCACAGACAAGTCCAGCGCCTTTGGCTCCAATGCCTCCATCGCAAACTCCCACACATCCAGACTTCAGCCCAAGACGCTCGCGCATGACCGGGTGTCCCATCGACGACCGGGAGCCTTTACGCCGGTGGCGGCTCAGAGAAGCAGTGGCCTCGTCTTATTCTTTTGAGCTTCGATGTTTTTGGCTTAGGGCCATGCCTGCCAAGGGGGCAGCGAGCTCCGCCAGAGAGCAGCCACCTGCACAGGAGCCTCATGGGGCAGCAGCATCTTGCTGCGTTTCTACAGAAGTGCAGGCGATGCGGATGGGCACAGATCTTCAGGAATCTTCAGGATAGTTTCAGTCAAGCGTTTTTCGTCTTAAGCCAAGTGAGGACGAGTGGTACCACACGCTCATGCCGCTGCCCAAGTTCAACGTGTTTCTTAGCACGAGTCGCGATCCGTGCCTTCTTGCTTATCCGTTCGAGGTCTCGGCTACGCCGGCTGGGAGAGGCATTGCCATGCATGCAATAGCTGCTGCATGCTCAACCCACCCCCGCATCCCCTTGCTCCTTGATCCCGTTGCCGGCTTGCTCGGCTACGGTGCAGGTGACAGCACCTTGTGGAGATGACTGGACAGGCAAGGCACGGAGTTCATTCATGCGTGGACAAGGGAAGAAGAGGATGCAGGGCCAAAGCTGTTGCGTTGCCCGGGCGTTTGAGAGCCAACAGTTTGGCACGCAAACAGTTTGATGGACGGGGCCAGTACGGTTGTGTGACCAACAGGCAGGGGCTGGCAAGCCGGGAGCCATACAGAAAAACGGAGCCATTGCAAGTGCAGTCAACCGTAAAACCTGAACTGACACCAGAGGCAAATGACAACTGGGAAGTCTAAAATGATCAGGATGTGGGCTGGCCAAGCCTCGGCCCGCAAAGTGTGGAAACCTTTGAATTCACCAAGCGTTTCAAAGGTTCGGCCTTTGTTGGTCCTTGGCACACTACCGGTTGTGAGGGCAGATGTATATGGGGCTGACTGCAAGGACCATCGGAGCGAATAGAACGAAGCGAACCTGTGGCCTACACCCCGAGCAGGGCGCGGGAGCCTTTGGCTGCGAGGCTTCCCCGCGTATTCCTGGATGCAAGCAGGGTGAACCCAATCTGTCAGATCGAGCAGTCGAGATGCTTTACATGCCAAACTCAGAGAGGCCCACCAAGTCCTGCTGCTTATTTGTGCTTTACTGTTTGGTTTGACCCTTGAACCAGTTGGACGCGGATCGGCCTGAACTTCCGATCTCATCGCGAGCACAGCTGGGCGGTGCTGCAGCGACACCAGGTGCAGCCTTTCGTTATTTTTGGTATAAAATATGCCAATGAAGCGAAACGCAGTTCTCGCTGGTGGAAGCTGTTGCCAGGCTCATTCAATGCCGGGCCAGCCAGGTTGCTCAGTGCTTTGCCAGATCGAGCACTTCGGCGGGAGCCCTGCCAGTGTAAGACGCAGACATGTCGCATCCAGCCTGGTGATGCAGCCGCATCCTTCGGAGGACAGCCACTATGCTTCGTTAAACAGAGCTTCTCAAAGATCCGAGGAGCTGAAAGTGACGCAGATCACCGTTCCCAGTTTCCGTCGTGTGTCCTGCGCAGGAGCTGATCTTCTGACTGCTTTTCTTGTTGGTCGTCCTAGACCCGCTTATGGTAATTCGCGCTTGATTCGCAATACAAATATTGCGAATTTTCATATGCTAATTCGCAAATGCTTAGAGAGGTCGATCATTGATATTCATCGAACACCCAAAAATTGGGCTTGTGAAACTTGTCCAGTTACAATGTTTTGGATAATAAAAAGATGAAATTCAACAAATCAGTAGGTTCATTGTATATAGAGAGATATCTAAATATGGATATAAGGTTAATCTTTTTTTTCAAATCGAATCTCAAATATTTGTTTTTCAATAAATAAGAATTGCGCTTTTAAATTTATGAACAGATTTTTAGGATATCATAATATTCATATCTGTAAGATCGCCAGAAATAGAAATACAAATGAAGATTAGAATGAAAATTCAATTTTTTCATATGATTCAAATGAAATGTGAATAAATGAGATGGGAGTCAAAATTATCGTTTGTCTAGAGTTTAGCGTAGAGGGTGGTTGTTTAGCTAGAATCGTTAATGATAAGAGATGCGTTATTTTGATTTTTATAAGTATTTTGAAAAAGGGCTTCGGTAAATAATAGAGCGAGATATTGAAATAAATTAACATAATATGAATAAGATATCTTCGGGTTAATTTAAATATATTGAAAGCGATATTTTTTGGATATATATATTTGATAATATAATATTTTTTGTTACTTCTATTTTTGGAATAATCTAAGAAAATTTAAATTAATATTTTAAAAATTAATATTAAATATTATATTATGTCGGGATGATAGAAATATTAATTAGGATTAGAAAATATAGAATTATGTCTAAATATATATAAACTAAAAGAAATAGAATTATTGCTTCTATATATTATTCGTCTTTATTCTAATTAAAGGCTAATTTTTTACAATCCTTTACACTTTCGTCCGCGATCTTTCCCACGGACACTCCTACCCTCACTCACGACACTCCTTACGACATACATGCCCTCGCCCGCAACTTGCGTTTTTTCGTTCCGATTTATAGCTGCGAAATCGGGGGGATCGATATGAGAGTGCAGTGATAGATATAAAAGATTCTTCAAATATCTTATGCCAAAATCTCAATAATTTCTAGAATTCATATAAGATTCATTTATAGTATGTAGTCCCACTCTTTTCATCGAAATTCTTCCGTAGAATATGATATTTCTGAAAATATTAATATCTAATAAAAATATGATTGTTCTTAAAATTTTTATATTCTGTAGATTCTTATTCGATTGAAAAAATATTTCGAATTGCCAAAATTTCCTGGAATGAAAATTATGAATTTATCTCTAAGATCGAAATTATCTTTTTCATAATATTGTTTGTCACGATACGACATGTCTCATTTGCCGTATTCTATTTATACGATCTTCTTATTCCACGACATTCTTCGCCCCCTCCTCCGCCTCTCCACGACATTCCTTACAAATATATTTTTGACCCCCTCCCCCCCCCCCACGATCTTCTCTCGCCTAATTCATATCCCTCGTATTCTCATTCAACGATATTCCCTTCGACTTTCGCCCGCCATTCTACGATATTCTATACGAATCCCCACGATATACAAGCCCTTGCCTATCATGCCACGATATTTATCATTTTTATCTCGTTATTTTCTATAAGATATATTCATTTCCTCGTCTGTTATTCCGCGATATTCCCCACGAAACACACGCCCTCGCCCACAATTCGTGCTTCCACATAGTTACGATATCTGGCGAATCGACATGGCAATACAATAGATATGACAGATCTGCAAAATATTTTATATTAGAATATTATTTTTTTCAAGAATTCATATATAATTCATCTTTAAAATATAGGCAGATAGTCGTAGATTTTGCTAACGAATTAAATAGATCGAGAATTTCGTAATTTTATTCCGACAGATATCAGGTATGAATCCGATATCGGAAATATATTTTCTTAAATATTTCGATCTTCGAACTATGAAATTCTTTAAAAGAATTAGAAAAAATAATCATATGTATTTTCAAGCTCACAATGCCTTATAGATATTGCTATATTATATTCATAGATCATATTATTACTATATCATATATTTTTATATATTCTATATTTTCCGAAATTCAATATATAATTCATTCATAAATATCATTGTGAAATGGATTAGAAATTCTGCTTCAATATATATATATATCATTCTTTATATATCATCAAATTAAAATATAATTAATTATAATAAAAAACAACGAAATATATAAGAAAAATAGACTCTTAATATTTATCATAAAATAAATCGTAATGTTCGGCATATAAATATTTC